AGTTTGAGACCAGCCTGGGCAACATAATGAGACTGCATCTCTGCAAAAAATTTAAAAATTAGCTGGGTGTGTTTGGTATGTGCCTGTAGTTTTAACTGCATCGAAGGATTGTTTCAGCCCAGGAGCTTGAGGTTGCAGTGAGCCATGATTGTGCCACTGCACTCCAGCCTGACAACAGAGTAGGACCCTGTCACTATATATATATAAAATATATAAATATATATACATATCTTTTCTGAGAATATTTAACAACATAGAAAAGAAGATAACATAAATTAAGAAATAAAAGATGCAAAATTATATGTTGCATATTTTGTAATAACACAATATTTTTATTTTTATCTAAAAAGATTCATTGAAAAGTACAAATTAAAAGATTGTCTCTAGGTAGACTTACTTGAGTTTTTTTTTAAAAATTCTTTTTTTCTACTTTTTTAAAACAGATTTTCTATTTTGAGTTCGTATTACTTTTACAATGCAAAGTTTCCATTATTTCCTAATAAGGGGAATGATATTTTAGAGGAAAGGAAATTTTTTGGGCATATAAAATAGAAATATTCATAATAATGAGTAAATCCCCATCATTATTCTACCAAGACTAATGTTAAGAGCGGGGTCTTCTTGTGTTAAATGCTAGCAAGAAGAACTGAGACAAACTGTTGAAATGACATGCTTAGGGAAGATTTATAATCAGTGAGTTAAGCTGATTACAAAGTCCTGGATAGGATGTTTGTTAACTAGAATTTTGGATACAATGGCAGATTCCCTCAATCATTCTATGGACAAGAAAATGAAAGAAGGAACATCATAAGGAAAATAGAGAAGTTTTCTCTGCCTTCAGGAGGGATGAATACAACCAAAAATGCCTATCTAAATTCATTTCCTTCAACTTGAAACAAAGGTCAGTATTTGTTATATATTAGATTCACAGAAATTAAAGACAGTTCATTTTTCAAAATAAGATGATAAGGAAATTCTAGAGATTAGGAAACTCAATATGGCTCTCCCTGGGGCTGAGGGAGGAGAAAATCAAGCGACTTACTTTGGGTTATTCATTTATGAATGAACAGTTTTTCCATTCAGGCAATCCTTCAATGCATACTGCCACCACATGTCTGGAGACATTATGGAACAAGTAGGGAGACATTATGGAACAAGTAGAGAGACATAATTTAGCAATCACTAAATATTCATGATGAACAAATAATCATGGGCACATTTTATTTTCTTCTTTATGGGAGACTAAACAATAATCTGTAGTCATTTCTTATTTAAATACAATTTTTTATTTTGTCCACTCTAAAATTGTAATTGATAAACTACTAATACAGATGATACTACTAATTCATATTATCTGATACAGATTTTATAACATGCCCTAGATTTCTTGTCAATACCCTGTGAAAAGAGCTTATTTTCTCTAAAATAGAATTAAGTCTACCATATTTTAATTTTTGAAAATGTGTTATTCTGTACATTCCAGCTTGACCCTGGTCTGCCAAATGAGATATGCTGAAAAACAAAGTGATGAGCCACTACCACTAATTGCAATAATTTTTACTGAATGCACTTAGAATTCCTGGCTCATCTGTGTTCTGATTGCCAATAACCAACCCTCTCCAAAGAACCAAGATCAGGCTGTTTAGAGAAAATATACCATCATGGGGAAGCCAGGGACTGAGGAAAGCACTCACTCTTAGTCACCTCTTCCAATCATGGCATATTCTTCCTTTCCCTCCCTGTTCTTGCATCCTGCAGCAACAGGATTCATTATATTATGTATAGATTTGAAGTTAATATGTCTGTTTACAGATCTTATTGTCATGGTGATAGGTGCCTTGGAAAATAAAGGAGATGTTACCAGCCATAATGTTGATTCCTGACTTCAAATCTCCTATCATGCCAACAACATATCGTATCAACACTTGCCTCTAAACATAATACATGTCCTGACAATTACCACAAAAGTTCATTGCACATTGACTCAGATCAGTAAGATGAGTATAAAGGCTTCCAATCTCAGAAATTCTGATTTTCAAAGTAAAATTTCAATAAAAGATCTTTAGAAACATAATTTAAGTAATTTGGAACTGCTGATTTTTTTTTATTCCATAAAATATGCTGTGGCCACAATTCCCTAAATGTGCTCAAGTTGGAATTTTTTTTAATCTTGAACTTTGGATGAGGTCCTTTGATCAAGGAAAGATTAGATCATTTTTTTTTTTTAGGGAATTCTCTAAAATTACAAAAAATAATAGCAAAAAAGGTTAGGGCCTTTTTTTTTTTTCTCATTTTTTGGGTTGTGTGTGTATGTGTACGTGTGTGTGTGCTAGCCCAAATTCTAGGAACGTGAAGAACTTTAAGTCAAAACATAAAATCAATGCATTAAAAAATGAAAACAAACCAAAAACAAGGAAAAAAGAAAGAAAGAAAGAAAGAAAAAAGAAATCCCCAAACATTCACAGTCAGAAAAGTATTGACTTGGACTTCCTAAAGTGTTGTCTTGACTTAAAGTACATCCTGTGACTCATATTCCAATTACTGTTACAGTTTTTCTGGCCCAAATTGCCAGGAGGAAAGGAAGTACTTCTATACTTATGGTGATTTAATGCCCTTAGTATACACAATCTTGTAAAAGCTGCACCCTGAGAAACGTAGAGTGTTTTATAATTCTTTGTACCTGTTACACTTTTATGAATCCTTCTTGGAATAAAAGTACATTCTGTCACTATTTGAAGAAAGGATCTAAGTAACAGTAACATTACCAGTGTTGAAAAATATCTTATTTTCCTAATACTCCCCATAATGCTGGCTTATTATTTTTTAAATGCCATTGTACTGGGTCCTCATGGAAAACACATTAACTTCTATTTGCAGGCAGGTGAGAATAATGGTTTGGCCCATTATTCACAGGAGATTCAATGTTTGTTGATTCAGAAACCATTTCTGAAGGCCCTTCCAAGAAAGCAGCTTGGGCACTGTCATGTGGAATTTGGAGCTGCTCACAGGTAGCAAAACCACATCAACTTCAAAATGCCTTTTGTGAATGAAGACGGAAAATTCTATGAGATCAAAAGTTCAAAGAAAACTTTTCCAGCCATTTCCAATTTTAGATACCCTTTATTATAATCACTTAATTGATAGGTTATGGATATTACAACATGGATTTGTCCCATAATTTTTATCATTTTTATATTATAGAAATGCCTAGTTTTAAAATATTCTGATAGAAAATTATCACAGAAAATAACAAAAACAAGAATAACAAATAAAGATCCTTCTTTTAATAAAAGATCTCTGCCGTAAATAGAAATTATACATTAACTCAACTTTCAGAAATTCAATTTATATGCAATTGTTCAGCAAGGCACCTTTTGCATGGATCACTGTAAACATTAATCTTTTAAATTAGATATCTTCCATAATGATAGCTTGCATTTAGACACTTTAAAGTTACATTTTCAAAATAATGTGTTCATCTTTTTTTTCAAAGTCAACTTTTCGATTACTAAGAAACATTAATTATTTTCTTTTAAACATTTTCTTGAATATTTTTCCACATATCTATTTGGTTCTTTCTAAATGATTTCATGTCACCAAGTGGCTATCTGGAAGAGATTATTTTATCAAGCAGCAGTATGTGAGTTATCACTGACAAAATAATATTGGGAGTAGAAAAACCTACTTAGCTAGGAGTACAGGATTACCATTTTTTTGTTATTGTTGTTGATAACTCTTAATTTAAAGTAAACTGAGAGTTTGTAGAAATTGAGGAACCAAGAAAGTTAGAAAACCAAAAACATATGTACGTATATAGGTTTATAATTTTATATACCTTTATAAACATATATATATATAAGGTTTTTAGCAGTTTTTATGTCAACTTCTCACAACTTTCTTTAACATAGAGGCAGATTCTATAACTGCTGCTATGTTCTCACCCCAGCAGTACAAGAAAGGAGGAGAAGCAGATCAAGGATTAGTTTCTGCTTCACTCATGAATTTTACAAGCTTATCCCAGACATGGAGATGCAATTTGCCTTTTATCTAAATCAAAACTCGTTTGACCGTAACCGTTATTGGCTGTGTAACAAAAAAGAGGCCCTGATTACCTTTTTAAATTTTTTAACAAGTGTAAATGTGACAAAAATATAAACTGATTTGAGATTTTTGTTTTTAAAAATCCTAAAGACACACGTTTCTATGATTTGTATGAGTAGAATTTCATTGCCAAAGTCTCTGGGTTACACCTCGCTATTGGTAAGACTTTTAATAAACAGTTTTTAAGGGGAAACCACACATAATTTGGCAAGATATGTGCTCCCCCACAAAAGCTATTCTGCGTTTAGATTCTGAGCCAGGCCACCCCTAGACTGTCCATTCCAGCATGAAATGGCTGTCAACAAGCATGATGAGTAAATAAAAGCCTGTGCATTTACTGCAATGTTAGGAAATTTCCTATCATTCTGGACTTAACAAGGGTGAAATCTTTTTGGAATATCTTCAGTGTGCACAGATCTGGAAATACTATCTCTTCTTAGGAATGAGCTGAAAGTAGGCCAGTAATATGTTGGAGAGTGAGAGGCTGTAAACAAGGATATAGTAAGTTTAGAAAGAACAGGAGAGGTGAGTGGATAGGGCTATAAGTGGAGTCATAATTTCTACACACATCAAAGTGGGAAGTGATCATTCTAATAACTCCATTTGTGAAAATATAAGGAGAATTTGTAATTACACATTGCCAGTAAGTAATCAAACTTATCTCCCCCAAACATACTTGATGTTTACTGAAGATTTATGTAAGTTATGTTAAAATATTGGTAGACATTGGATTCTCGAACTTCCTTGGGACTTAGAGTTTAGCATTTAAACCAGACTCAGCGACTTCCAGTGTAGTTCCTAGGCCATCAGCCAGGTTGTGCAACTCAGCAAAACAGAATGCACTTTTTCCTTCTGGCTTTTTATTTTTTTATTTTTTCCTTTTCTTGTTACTACTTTAAACCACCCCATGTAACAGCTTGTTAAGTGCTTCAGGCTACTTGGTAGGTGCTAGGTAATGTGAAAAGATTGATGTCTACCCAGAGAAGCTTGTACAAAAAGATACTCCAAAAAGATCATGCTATCTATTAACTGTCAGCTGGTAAGTATTTTTTTATTACTCCATTGACTATAAGCGTCACAAATATTTATTTTTCATTGATCATTCTTTACTAATAATTATGTTTGTCTCAGATTAAGCATTTCATACTTTGATATTTGATGATTATTGTTAGTTACTTATTGAACTCTGGTCGCTTTCCTTTTGATTGTAATATATTTTCTGACATTAGTAATAATAACAATAACTAACACAGTGGCTCAATGTGCCAGGTTCTGTTAAAGTGCTTTACTTTATTAATTAATTTAAACCTCCTTCATCAGAACTTTGGGAGCTAAGTACAAATATTACCCCCTGTTTGCAGTTGAGAAAATGGAATTATGGAGAGGTTGAGTAACTTGTCCAAGTTCACACAACTAATAAGTGGTTAAGTCCCGAATAAAACTCATAAATATTCAATTTTTTTTATAATGTATTAACACTATCAGTTACTTAGAGATATTATATAGTTATTCCAACCTTTTTTTTACTAAGATGTTGGATTTTATGTTTTTTTTTTGGAAAGACTATTATATTTGAAATAATAATAAAAACCATTAGCTATATAAAATCTTTTTTTCTGCTAAGATTTTCCAAGTGTTTTATACATAATAATTAATTTGATCTTCACAACAGCCTTATGAGGTAAATTCTATTAAAATCTCTGTTTTGTAACAGAGAAATGAGGCACAGAGAAATTAAATAACTTGTCCAATGACACCCAGCTAATATGTGGCAGTACTGAAACTTGAACCAGGCAATTTGGCTTGACTCTGTTGCTTAAGTCTGTTGTGTTTCTCAAAAGCCAAAGGAGTTATATTCTTAGTTTAAATTGGGTAATTTCATTCCAGTTCCTGTGTTTACTTCCATTGACATTTTAATGTAATGTTTGGTATGTCTCTATTTCTATATGTCCAATGTCTAACAAGTCCTTGCCATCCATTAAGCAATCAGTAAATATCTAAGAAAATGATATGTGATATATGTGATATGATATGATTGTCAAAATAATTTCTGCATTGAGAAAAATAGTGCTTAGACTGACACCACAGTGAATTATCTAAAATCCATATAAAGGAAAGTTACTGAATGGCTACATTGAATGCTTTTAAAAATTTCCCCATTCCCAGTGGTTCTTCTCCTGTTAGTTGTACCTGGATTTTGTATTCCTGTAAGCAGAAAGTGTTCAGAAATTTTACTGATACTGTGAAATTTGGCTCAACTACTGATTCAAAAAATTAGCAGCATCTACCACGGGATGCTGACACCAATGTCAAGGTCAAAAGCAATCCCTTATTCAGTAGGTTGTTTTGCTTTCCTAATAAATGCCTCTTATCTTCCTTTTGAAGGATGACTTTAAAAGCAGAAATTTGAAAATTTCACAAGATTCATAAGACAAATTCTTTTCTTAAGAAATCACTTTAGACTATAAGCAAGGAAAAAGCTTTAGTAAGGCCAGTCTTAAAGACTCAAGATTTTAAGATAGTTTAGATAAGGTTTGAATAAGCAGCCAAAAGTTCTGAACCAGAATTCCAAACCTGTTAGTAACCATAATATTATTTAGCACTTAGATAATTCTTTGCAGACAGTAACCATTAATCATTCGTATCCCACTGTGTAATATGCACATTTTAAGATTATCATTTTATAGAGGCAAATATTGAAGTTGAGAAGTGAAAGGTGCGTTCAAGGTCACAAACTGGGTTATTGCTTGAGCCAGAATTTTACGGGAAGTTTTTCTGACTCTATCCCTCTCATATTCCACAAGCAATTACCTTACTTTTGTGCCAGGATTTTTAAATGTAAGTACCTGAATACACAAAGCCAGTCAAACTGCTTGCAATATTCAGGTTGTTTATGGGAGATAGTGTGAAAAGGAACTGTAAGACATAGGTCTTATACTCAAACACATGCATTCAGTGGAATCTTGGACACATTTCCAATTATTCTTCAGCCTCAATTTTCTTATCTGCAAAATAGACTAATATTTTTTACCTCCTGGGGACTTTTGACAGTTAAATATAATAATATGTATAGATAATTATTTATAACTGTAATCTTTTGAGTGTACACTTTATACAAGTGTAAAAATCCTCAGCAATTTATGTTTAACTTGATTTTATATATTTATTCATTTATTTATTCATTCAACAGATATTGTATTAGATGCCTGCAATATATATTGTCTCATACAGTAACAACTAAAATGAACTCCTTGGTCTTATAGAGCTCACAATCTTTAAGGGAGGGAGCATAAAATAAACAAATAAATACATAAATAAAGTGAGGTATAAATTCCATGTGAGATAAATAGTGGTATAAATTTCATGAAAAAAACAAGTAAGAGCATTAGGAAGTGATTTGGGTGGGGTATGATTTTATCAAGAGTGGTTGATAAAGTTTACATGTAAATATATTTGAGGAAAGACATGAGAGAATTGGAGGAAATGGCTTTGTGACATTGGAGGGAAGGGACATTTTAGGTAAAGGGAACAGCAAAAGCAAAATCCCCTGGGCTTGCTTAGCTTTTTCAGAACTAGAAAGGAATAGAGTTAGCAAGGAAGAGATACAAAGGATACAGGGATATTAGATTACACAGCTTTTAAGACTTTGTGGGTTGTGGTAGGAATTTGGGATTTTACTTGTAAGACTCTAAGTAAAAGAAAGCTGGGCGCAGTGGCTCACGCCTGTAATCCCAGCACTTTGGGAGGCTGAGGTCAGGTGTTCGATACCAGCCTGACCAACATAGTGAAACCCTGTCTCTACTAAAAATACAAAAATTAGCCAGGCGTGGTGGCACATACCTGTAACCCCAGGTACTTGGGAGACTGAGGCAGGAGAATCACTTGAACCTGGGAGGCAGAGGTTGCAGTGAGTGAAGATCTCAGCCACTGCACTCCAGCCTGGGCAACAAGAGGGAAACCCTGTCTCAAAAGGAAAAAAGAAAAGAAAAAACAACAACAACAACAACAAAACAAAAAACAAGAAACAGAAGACTAAAAGACTTTTGCAAGTTTTGAGCAAAAGAGTAATATGATTTGATTTATATTTTCTTGATGTTTCCAGAGGGCCCAAGCTTTGTGCAGGGTCTTCATCTGTAGCTGACTTTTTGTCCTTGGTACACAGGCTGGTATGCTAACGAAGTACTTTTGGTGTTGAAGCTTTGGAGTGTGATTCACTAGGTGGTGCTTAGGCATAGTGGTCAGTCAGCAGGCTCTTGCTCAGTCTTGTGGCTCCCTTACATTTCCCCAAGGTTGCAGCCATGCTCCCTATCAATGATCTGAAAATGTGAGTTCCTTCCCCACTTGAGAGCCGGCTGCGTTCATGGCTTGGCACTCCCGGGCTGCCCACCACAACTCTGGGGCAATCTCAGGGTTTATGTGCCCTCCCCAACTTGGAGACAGCAGAGGGAGGGACCTTAGCAGTGGTTGTGGCCAAGGGTCTTTTACTTTTCTCTTGGGGCTCCACCGCAGAGAGATGCGGCGCTGCAACCAATCAGCACAACGGATGCAGGAGAGAAGGCTGAGCGGTGGGTTTCCGCCAGAGGGTCAGTGGGTGGGGAGGGTGGGGAAGACCCTGCCTGATGATTTATATTTTAAAAGACTCACTCTGGATGCTGTATTGAAATTAGAATATAAGCAAGGGTGAAAAGGAAGACAATGTAGGAAGTTATCTGAATTGAATGATTGAAATAAAGTGTCAGCAGTGGAGATCAGATTCAAGATATATTTTGGCATAACTGGCATATGATACAAATTTAGTTTAGATAACATTAGAAATGAAGTTAAAATTTAAGTTTTCAGTGTGTTGATGTATTAAAAATCAAAAAAAAGGATGTGATCACCAAGAAAAGTATAAAGAGAGAAGATAAATATGTGAGGAAAAAAAAAAAAGCCCTAAAATACTACGGTTTACCATGGACAACAAGAAGCAGCAGCCAAGAAGATTGAGAGGAACAACAATGAAGATCAGAGCAGGACAGGGGGTGTAATGTCAACAAGGAAGGAGTGGGCTGTGCGCGGTGGCTCACGCCTGTAATCCCAGCACTTTGAGAGGCCCGAGCAGACGGATCACGAGGTCAGGAGTTTGAGATCAGCCTGGCCAACATGGTGAAACCCCGTCTCTACTAAAAATACAAAAAATTAGCTAGGAGTCGTGGCGGGTGCTTGTAATCCCAGCTACTTGTAGGGGCTGAGGCAGGAGAATCACTTGAACCCAGAAGGCAGAGGTTGCAAAAAAAAAAAAAAAAAAAAAAAAAAATCTGGCCCAGGTGAAAGAGTGAGACTCTCTCTCTCAAAAAAAAAAAAAAAAAAAAAAAAAAGAAGGAAGGAGTGATCAATTGCATCAAATGCCCCTGAGCAGTTGGATAATATGACGAATGCTTGACCATGTGATTAATCAATGTGGTGGTCATCAGTGACCTTAAAAAGAGGAGTTACTTCTTTTTATTCTTTTATTGCTAAACAAATGTATTTATTTAGCTTATGTTTATAGGTCAACAATTTATGTGGGGTTGGGCCAAGTTGTTCTTGTGGCTCACTCACATGTTTGGCCGCCTGCTGACTGTTGCCTAGGGCAGCAAGGCCATGGAGGTATGTGCAAAAAGAGTTCTGATGGAGATGTGTAGATTAAAATCTGGTTGTCTCTTATCTGAACTACTGCATTAGCCTTCAGTCTTTCTCTCTCCAAGGCATTCTCCATTCTGCAGCCAGAATTACTTTTTCAAAAGAAAAATCTAGTGTTTCTGCTGCTTAATAATTCCAGTGGCTTTTTATCTCTTACAGGATATTTATGTAAAGCTGTAACCTGTTCGCCAAAACTCTGCCGTCTGGGATTCAGCCTCACTAGTATACTTTAGTTCCTCATACTTCTCCCTTCCCCAGGGACTTTGAACTGCATGCCACATACTCAGAGTATTTCACAGAATTGCAATTGTATGTTTTTATGTGATCCTGTGATTAATGAGGATCTTCCCTGATTGAAAGCCCCAAGAAGGCGGAAGTCAGCATGATGACTTTACTTAACATACGTCCTCACGCAAATGTCACAATGCATTATAAGGGCTCTATAAATATTTTTTGAGTGAATGAACACAACTTGTTTTGTAATTCTTTTTTTTTACATATGACTATAAAATTCCTTTAAGGATCCTGAGGATGATGAATCTTTGACAGGAGTATTAAATATGTATTGTAATTATGTATTAAAACTCCATATTCTAATTATATTGGCACAATTAAAAAATATCTTAGAGAATAAAAAAAACATCTAGCTCTTCCTTCTTTATATTTGTAAAGTAAAATGTTAGAACATGCTTTAAAAAAATGTGAATCATCATGAATGCTTACTTTTCGCATGATCATTGATAATTCTCACAACATATTGGTTTCTACATGTACATGGCAGGACTGATTGTTGTGGACCAAGAAGTATAGGTAAGAAAATACCTCACTTTCTTTATAGCTTTCTCAGACTACTGCTATTATTATTCTACCTCTAAGGCCAATCTCTCAGTAGGGTTCTCCTCTATCAGAACTTTTTTAACCAATTAACCTTTCTATTTAGCAGAAAAAAAAAAAAACACGAAACATTTAAACAGATATGACTTTTAAAGATATTGTATAAAATTAATATAGCTTATTTGTCATGAAGCCCATAAAACACTCTTCAACCTTTATATGTTTATAATATAAACTCAATTTGAAAGAACAAGTATTTTATTAGAAAGATAACAATAAAACCAAATTATAAAAAGAAGACACTATATAACTATTTAGTACTATGTATTTGACTAGGCTAATTTCCTGCAGACAATAAATACCTACTATGTGCACCTACCTCAACCCATCCACTCAGCAATATCTGTGAATTGACTGGGAAGACGTATTAAACTGTGCTGCAGAATATATAAGAAGCAGAGTCAAAGTATTAGATAGTTTGTTCAGAGTTAAACATACATATAAAAGGACAGGGTTCATTTAGTCTTACCTGTGAATCTCTGAGAATATCTAATTTATTGTTTTTATTAATAAATATCATGTCCAGTGTGAGGGTTGGGGGCAAGAGAGAAGGAATTTAAATACTTAGAACATTTAAGAGAACGTTCCAAGAGAAACCAAATACCTCAGACTATTTAGAGACAGAAGTATTTTGCAGTGAATGTGCTACGAAAGAATTTGTTAAAGTAATTACCTTTACTATTCACTGATTTCCATAGCAACTGCACAATGACTCATATTCAAAATCAGGCTTTAATGAAAGGAACAGTCAACTTTATGTGCCAGATGATTATATATCTATCTTTTTTCCATGTAGGATTGAAGCCAGATATTGTATACAACTATGTTCCATGGACTATTTAACAAGCATTTCATATTTTATTGCATTTAGTCCTCCCATCAGCCATTATTATCTCAATTTTATGTATCAGGAAAGGTTAAGAGAGTTTTAAGTAACTTGACCAATATCTCACCACACATGTTAAAGTTTGGTTTACAAATTTACCTAACTTCCAAGCATTTAATTGTTCCACTATTTTATGCTGATAAAAGCCTTCAGAGAAGATACTGTGTCTGATTATTTCAGTTTAAAAATCACAGTTTTCAAGTTACAATGGAACTAGATCCTATTTTACAAAACAGAATCTAGGCAACGCAGGATTTGAAAGTCCTTTTTGAGCATTCCGAAATTGCCTATCATCAGATTGATTGGTAATTCAGGTGATATGTGGAATCTGGAGCCACTGCATAGGCTGTGTACCCTATGTCCTGAACAGAGGCACCTGGCCAAGTGGGTACGATGAGCTAAAACCCAGGGAGCACTCTGTTCACCATTCTCTGTGTCCTATCTGGACTCTGCCTCAGCCCAGAAGAGCAGCCATTTTTCTCTATTTGGTCTGCTCAGATGAGGTACTTATTTGCAATATTTCTCATTTGTGCCACAGGAAAGTGCCCCTTTCTAGGCTGCACAATGACTTGCCGACTGTGTTAGCAGCAACTTTAACAGACCCTGACACTTTTTGCATATTAGCATCCTCAAGAGCATGGAATGTTGCACCAGGATGAATCCCCTTGTTCCTAGGAACTCCCCGAGATTGGAAAATGTTCATTGATAAGCTTTAGAAAGGTTATGCAGAGGTCAGCTAACAATGAAAAAGAATTTTTAGTATCTGAAGTCATCGTGAATAAACGTCATCATTAGGAAAACAAGACTGTGGATCCTGATATTGCAGTTAATGAAAGTTCTATTACATTTTAAATGGTTTATAATGAGAAGCGCTCAAAATTACTTTAAAACTAATTTTATGTACTTAAATTGCATTCAAGAGACCATTTAAATTAATAAATTTATTAAGGGTTTGGTGGAAACACATGTTATATCAAATCACGTGGATATACTAGATAAAATTGCAATACAGAAAATAACACTATGCCCTCCAAAGATGCTCTGTGGCCAAATATATTGGATATCTTTTCTATTATTGGATATCTTTTAATTCCTCAAAAGGTGAACATAAAATGACACAAAGTATTAAATTTGATTTGTAATTGTATTCTAGGCATTTAAACTTTTATAAATGACTAGAAATGCTTGTTGTTTCAATTAAGGCATTTTTATGCTTTGAGTTTTTATTGTTATTTTTGTGTTTAGTTGGTTAGAAGGTAGGAGAAATGAAGGGCTTTTTTTGATAAAATCCAAGAATGTAGAGCATTAAGTTATGACTTCTTAAAAATGTGTCCATTTTTTTCTCATTAGGTGACCAAATTTTGATTTCCTTGAATTGGGTATTTAAGACTGTTTTGAGGAGTAAAAAAAAAATCTGGTTTACTCGTTCCTTTAATGCCCTCACCAACCTTCACCCACTATAGTGGGAAAAAAACGGGACCACACGCTTGGTTAAGTTGGCTACAAATAACTGATTTTTTCCCTAGTATTATTCTATGACCTGTGTTAATTTTTTTTCAAGCCAACAAACACTGTTCTGTGGAAGATTTCTGATAATTTCTACAAACTCCAGTTCATGGTTTTATATATAGATATGATAATGTGATAAGGTAAACACAGAAGTCATAGTGGAAATCCAAGTGGTTTCAGATGCTCCTGATAGGCTTGCTTCCCCCCAGTCTCATCATGCACACTTTCAGTCACCCTTTTCCAGATCAACTGCCTTTGAAAGATTTTCAAAACTCTAAGCCATTACTAAATGGCCATGGAAAGAAATTAAGCAAAGAAAAATTGGACAGACTTTCAGGAAAAGTTTCCTAATTGTGAAAACTATTAAAATGTGGAATAAATATCCTCTGAGGGAGAGGATGGATGCCCATCTCTGAGGCTTTAAAAAAACAGGATTTGACCAATACTTTGGGAAGAGGAATGAGGGCGATATTCATTACTTGGCAAGGAAGTGAGCTGGATGACATAATGATCTTTCCCTCTTTCATGCTAATGCCTCTTTGATGTGTTCATATAAGTAGTAACTTAGTTTCAAAAGCAGACATTTTAATGTGGAAAGAGTACTCAGGTTTCAATGAAAATCTCACCAGAAAAAGTCAGGAATGAAGGCTACCATTGACCCTGTACACGGATTACTTTTGTATTTGACCACGTAAGATAATTGGATGGGCACCTAATATATTTCCTGGTACAGTGCTATTGTGGTTGGTCTTCTTTATCTGTATGTCTATCTTGTTCAGTCTGTGCTTCAGCTTCACAGGAAAATAGAAATATTTTTTCTGTGCTTGTTAATGCTAACCATGGTGTCTACAACTGCATCTGCTGCCTTTACTCGGGTCTGCCAACCTTCTGTTTTTCTTACCTGGTATGTGTGCACACCCATGAATCCCCTGTGGCTGGGTTAAGGGAACATACAAGCAGCTCTTTAGCATTAAGAATGCGATGGGAGAGATTGAGGTAGATTTGAACTGTCATCATTAATCAAGGCCAAGGAGAAGGCTGCTTTCCAGGACGTACACATGGCCTCTGTTTGCTGTTGCTGTTTTGCTGCTTTTATGAGGTATCTAGTGAGAGAAAGTGTGAGGATTTACACATGAAACATTCCCACAGTGAATTTCAAGTGACTGGATAAAAGTATTGTAAGTGAATTTTATTGAATATGAAAGTCTATCTTTTTTATAAAGGAATATATTTTTAACTTATTTATTTTTAGTTTTAAAATTACACTCTTGATTTTTATAAGCTACTTTGTTTGATTTCTTGTCTTAAGCCAGCTGTGGATGATGCAAGGGTTCCCAAGCTTTCAGCCATCGGTCCCTTATCCTTTTCTGACTAGATTACAGGAATGAAATTGTGTAAATACATAAATCTTATATTTTTTAACTATTTAGTAATTAAAACTGAGATTTCAGTAACAATACTTTGGACATTTCTGGATAGTTAATGTAAAATTAACAAAAAACCTGCTTTTATAATTAAATAGTATAAATGTATATTACTGTTTGCTTACTTTTTATATCTAGGTGAACCAATATATGTATGTCTGTTTCTACTGTTACTTGCAGCTCAATGGAACCCTGTAATATACATGAACAAGTTTCTGGAAGTTATGAGGTGAGTTATTGCTCATGTCATATTCTCTTTTTTAGAGTTCTAGAATTAGGAGAACATCTATCATGGAACAAATACACTTCCATTCAAATCAGAATTGGCATATAACATATACATTATATGAAGCAATAAACAACTATTTTATATGGCAATAGTCTAAATATAACATGGCTCTGCATTTTTGGGCACGCAAAAATATATGAAATCCATGATAACTTCTCAGCTCTCCTGAATCTTTCCATCATACCACTAAGAATTTCATAACCCAAAGACCAAGGTAGAAAAATATGTTTTTGCAGAGACTAGGGTCACCCTAGTGTAAAACTTTAAGTGCGGATTACCTCAGATCCCTGCAAAACTGATCTGCCTCTGAGAAAAGAACTAGGCAAAATATTATTTTTGATGACAGGGTTGAAGTTCAGGATAGAAATGTAAATGTGTTCAGACATACTGAGAAATAAATCACATTTAAGAGATGAAGAATGGAGTTTCTGGAGGGGCAAAATGAAAAGGCAGATGCTAAGGAACTGCACAAAAAGAAAAAATGTATGCAAGTTGGGGCAGTGTGAACTTGTCAGACAGGGAAGAAGCATGAAGTCATAAACTGCTTAGAGAATTATAGCAGTACCTTGACATAGTAGGAAAAAGAAAGCTTATGTGTACTCAAGAAGATCTGAATTCAAGTCCTGGCTGTATCCCTTACTGGATGTGGGATGCTGGACAAGTTACTACTCTATTTCAATTCTCTCATTCAAATCTATGAATTCAGAAATTTGAATTGAACACCAAAGCCCCCTTTGGCTGTCAATTTTAATCTGCAGTGACATTCTGGTGGGTTGAAATTTAAGGCGGTCATTAATAGATAATAAACAGACCATTTGTGTAGGAATTTACCGCATGTGTATGGGTCTTACTCTTAGTAATTTAGGAAAACATAGAAAGTGAATGGTGCAATCTTGAATTGTGAGGAGGAGCTCATTTTATCAGGGAAGATCGCGATTTTCAAATCAGTACCTGAATGTTGCTTGTTTGATTAAACTCTGGTATACAGAAAGCATTAGCTTCAGCATTATGCCTCTACTACATAGGAGAAGAACTGAATTAGAAGGAAATAGACATTTGACTGACTTAGAGAAATACTGAAAGAGTGAATTGATGATGCTTTCCAGAACCATTTAATTTGACCGGTATAATAAAGATATCGGCAGTAATGAGAGTCTTCTGAATTAAAACCAGCCACGTTTTCTCATTAATATATTACTATTGGTGAAATTTTGTTTCAGATGGTCTTCCAAAGCAGGAAATGTTTCCAATATAATTAATTATCACAGGCCAGGTGTGGTGGTTCACGCCTGTAATCCCAGCACTTTGGGAGGCCGAGGAGGGTGGATCACCTGAGGTCAGGGGTTTAAGACCATCCTGACCAACATAGTGAAAGCCCATCTCTACTAAAAATACAAAAATTAGCTGGGTGTGGTGGATCACGCCTGTAATCCCAGCTGCTTGGGAGGCTGAAACAGGAGAATTGCTTGAACCTGGGAGGCAGAGGTTGCAGTGAGCTGAGATTGCACCATTGCATTCCAGCCTGGGTGACAAGAGTGAAACTACTCTCAGTTAAAAAATATATGTATCACAAAAGGTGGAAGACAGGATCACTCATTTTTTCAAGCAAGAGACTTCTCAACTGTATATATAATATATATTATATATAATATATGTATTCTATATACATATAATAGGATATGTGTGTATATATCCTATTATACATATGTGTATATATCCTATATCCATATGTATTCTATATACATATAATATATACATATATAATATATGCATATATATGTATTATATATACTATTATATCATATTATATATTATATATGCTATATAATATATACATATATTATATATGCTATATTATATATATTATATATTATATGTACACATATAACTATATATTATATATTATATATACACATAACTATATATTATATAGCATATATAGTATATCAAATGTATATATTATATATCATAGATATATAGTATGTAGTAGATTACTATAGAATGTATACATTTGCTATATTATATATGCTATGTGTCATAAAATGTATAATATAGTATAATAGTGTATATAATATATAAAATATATACATCCAATATGCTATATATTATGTATAATATATACTATAATATGTAGTATATATAGTATATATGGTATATATAATATATGGTATATATAATATATGGTATTATATGGTATATATAATATATGGTATTATATGGTATATATAGTATATAGTATGATATATAGTATATATAATATAGTATTTTTAGTATATAGTATGATATATAGTATATAATATATAGTATTTTTAATATATAGTATAATATATAGTATATATTATATATTTTATATATATATGCCTCTAAATTAGCAAATTAAAGATTTAGTAAAGTACAAGTATCCCAGCTTTCTGTATGGGATGACTTTCTGAATGTCCCAATAATGTTTCAAATGTACTGGTTACTTCAGTGGGTAGGACCTGGTGGATCAGAGTGCAATTATGTGTTCAATTCCAGTGAATTTCTATTAATTTCCTGACTGAAGTAATGCAGACAATACTGGCCTACCAGAGTGAGGGCAAAATGTTATGAATGGTTGTTCTCCTGCAGAGGAGACAATGGCCTGGTTGGCTTTGGGAAATTTAATTGCATGGACTTAAGCTTTCAGAGCCAAGTTTTGATTATATCATAATTGTGGTTCCATAGCATCTTCCCTTTAGGACTTGGCTCTGAGGCAAAGTCTTAATGTAAGGCAAAGTGAATGCAGGATGCTTTTGATATAAGGCTGATATTTGTTGTAGTGACATTGAGGTAGGACTTGTGACATTCCCTTTACTGCTTATAGTCTCAACAACTCTTTTGAAAATTCTCTGGCCTCCTTTCTTTAGTTAGAAACATTTTCCAGCTGGAAGATACATACAGTGACTTTTTCGTGTCATCCTGCTTGTTTCTAAACATAATGATCAGGCTGACGTCCATGACATGGTTTACTTAGTCTCTTTCTTTGATTTTATATCTTGTTTTGTGCCTGTCTTACTTCCTAGTTCAGTGGAAAAAAAAAAAAAAAAATGTCCTGGCCAGCTGCCATCTGGTAAAAAAGCTGCCTTTGGTTCTGGGGAACATGAAAGTGGGACTGGGAAATAGAAAATGGAGTTTACTACTCCTAAGACCCAAATACTCCTTTTACTAGTAATAGATCAAAATGAGCTTTAATTGCAGAAAACTAAGTTGAATGTCTTTCACATTCCTTATCTTTACTGACATAATTTCTGCATTCGATACTATTAGCCCAGCTTTCCTTAATTTGGTTTCCAGATAACGTTCTTCCTCCTTGATTTCCTGCTGATTACTTTTATGGGTTCTCCTAATCTATTCTCTTTAAAATATGCTGCTCTCTACATTTTATCCTTTTTCCTTGGTCTCTTATTTTGCTTCATGATCTGTTCTTTAAGCTAGCAGTCTTCAAACTTTAAGCTAGAGTCTCTCAAACTTGGCTGCATTTATGGGACTTGCTAAATTGAATGCCTGAGCTACAGCTCTGAAAATTCTGACTTAATGTTTCCAAGGGTGGGGACCAGAATTTGTATTTTTAAAATACTTCACAGATGATTCTTATGAGCTTTAGGTTTGAGAATCACTACTTTCATAAATTTTATCTATGTTCTCAGCTGAATAGACCATTGGTTTCTGAGTCTTTACTCTCTTTTTATTAACTTTCATTTTAAGTTCGGGGTACATGTGCAGGTTTGTTACATAGGTAAACTTGGGTCATGGGGGTTTGCTGCACAGTTATTTCATCACACAACTATTAAACCTAGTACCCATTAGCTATTTTTCCTAATCCTCTTTCTTCTCCCAGCCTTCACCCTCCACTAAGCCCCAGGGTGTGTTGTTTCCCTTTATATGTCTATGTGTTCCCATAATTTAGTTCCTATTTATAAGTGAGAACATGCAGTATTTGGTTTTTTGCTCCTGCATTATTTTGCTAAGAATAATAGCTTCCATCTTCATCCATGTCCCTGCAAAGTACATGATCTCATTATTTTTTATGGCTGAATAGTATTTCCATCTTCATCCTTGTTCCTGCAAAGTACATGATCTCATTCTTTTTTATGGCTGAATAGTATTCCATGGTGTATATGTACCACATGTTCCTTATCCAGTCTACCATTGATGAGCATTTAGGCTGATTTCATGTCTTTGCTATTGTGAATAGTACTACAAGGAATATGTATGTGCATGTGTCTTTATGATACAGTAATTTATATTCCTTTGCATATATATCCACTAATAAATCAAATGGTAGTTCTGTTTTTAGCTCATTAAATCACCATACTGTTTTCCACAATGGTGGAATTAATTTACACTCCCACCAACAGTGTATAAGCATTCCTTTTTATCTCCACAACCTTGCCAGCACCAGTTATTTTTTTACTTTTTAATAATAGCCATTCTGACTGGTATGAGATGGTATCTTATTATGGTTTTAATTTGCATTTCTCAAACGATCAGTGATGTTGAGCTTTTTTTTGTAGCATTGTTGGCTGCTTGTATGTCTTCTTTTGAAAAACGTCTGTTCTGTATTTGTCCACTTTTTAATGGGTTTGTTTGTTTCTTGTAAATTTGTTTAAGTTCCATATAGATGCTGGGTATTAGTCTGAGTCTTTATTCTTAACCCTGCCTTCTTATCTAAGCTTCAGACCAATACCTCAAATTTTCTAAGAAACATTTCACTTGGATTATCCACGGTCATTTCAAATTCAATATAATCAATCAAAATGATTGAACTCTAACTCTTCCATCCACAGTCGGTCTCTTCCTTTTCTCTTACTTCAGATAATACTTCTTCCTGTACCAAGAGGGACACCTTATTCATTTTCAGCTTCTTGTTCTCCTCATTTTTGTTTTCTCCAATTAATCATCAATACATGCCCATGATG